GACGAGCGACCGCGAAGGGTAAAGGGTAACGGTCAGAGAGGAGCGATTCCGATCGGTTAACGTTTGATCGTCCCGTGATCCATGCGCGCGTTTCTGGCGAGACACGCTCGCACGCGAAATTTCTGCGGCGATGCACGGACGCTGTGTGCAATGCAAGCGCCTCGCCGCTCGAGGGCTGAGGGTGGAGAACCTCGGCGTGAACATTATGCGGTGCACCTCGCGTTTAGCTTGATAAATGGCGGCAGAGCAGCGGCGTTGTTGCAGCCGTCGCCACCGTCTTTTGCCCTTGTTTCCTCTGTTTTTCCCCTTTTTCCTCTCCCTCTTTTATTTTTTTTTCTTCTCTCTCTCCTTTCTTCCCCTCTTGTCTCTCCCTCGCTTTTCACGTTCCTTCCTCGCCTTTCGCGGCTGAAAATCGCCCGATTTTCAGGGAAGCGAAGAAGAAAATCCACCGCAATGACGTACAACATGAAAGAGAGAGAGGGAGAGAGAGAGAGAAGAGGAAGTAGAAAACGCACCGAAAAGTGTACCGGAAGCGACGATCATTATGCAATGACGTACAACATGAAAGAGAGAGAGGGAGAGAGAGAGAGAGAAGAGGAAGTAGAAAACGCACCGAAAAGTGTACCGGAAGCGACGATCATTATTTCTGCGGAGGTTCCTCGCGATGCTCGTGGACGTCACCCTAGACGCGATTATTTGTACGGCCAGGAGGGAAAAACGTCCTTACGTGCAATCTGGCCATTGCATTATGGTCGGAGAAAGTTTTTTAATCACGTTTGCCTACCGGTAGATATTACGCGACTTCCGCTTTTCTGCGGCTCGGATTATAAGCGTTCGCCTCGGTTCCCGTTCATTCGTTATTCATTATTTCCCCTGTTCTTTTTTCAATGCTTTTCCGCTTTGGTTCTGAAAGTTTGATTAATCGCTACGATTTCACTGCAATGCACCGAGATGCAATCGCCACAAGTGGGTGGAAGTTTTGAAATTTTCCATTTTAAAACTGGATTCAACGTGCGTTGATATTCACCACTGTAGAAAATCGCACGTTTACGAATTATCATTTTTATATTAATACATGTATATATTATAAATCAGTATATGGATTGTCAAACTCTTAAGTTCATCGGAACACAGTAAATAGTGTATAACAATCATAATACAATAACTATATAAAGGGCAGTAAAAGAATCGATAATTTGAGTCTCGAATGGTTACGAGCTTCGGTACAAAAACCGATCCGAGTTTCTCCCGCTTTGTATCAGCTTCAGATGCCAGAAAGAGCCGATTGTTTCTTCCAGCATCTTCCAGTAAATTGTCGTTAAATTTAATGCATTCGTTCGAGGAGTTATTAGCATTCGAATTTATTATTCTCCGGTTACAAACGATCTTCGCGGAGTCGTTTTCTTGAGTGCGCTAAGGTTTCCCAATTTATTTTGCATCTCTTTGGCGGATCTTCTCCGTCGGTCGCGTCGCGGGGGAGAAAAGATTTCCTACCGAGAAAAGGTCAATATAAAACGGGCGCGACAGGTATAAATGTAAAAGCGTTCGAGAATTTTCTTTATCGATGGGCTCGGATTTCGTACGTGATTGTTGCGTATACGCAATTGACGATTGTTCTATGATTCAGTCAGACTTCGATGTTGCACCTACACACGTCGGTCGAACAAAGAGCAAACGGAGTGGTTGAAAATGATCGATTCAAACATGGAGGAAAATTCAATTTATCAATCTTTAGTGTCGCTCACGCGATTGATATGTGGGGATAGGCAATTGCAGTCTTCCATCGACCATTTATGATTACAACGATAAAGAGAGAGAGAATCGTATTTCCTTGGAATATCGATCTCGTTGTCGGCAGTAAAAAGGGATTGAATTCATCAGAATCGTTGAATATCAACGAGTAACGTGTAAAGATCGGAATTGAAATCAAGTGTTCCCGTAAAATCATCCGCCGTACAGTTTTCGTATTTGTATCGAGAGCATCATCGACTCTTTTGCCCCGTTCGATCGTTGTCCCTACTTTACCAACCGAACAGGATCGCGTTTCGATCATTTTTCGAAACGATTTTTCAAGCTGATCTCTATAAAAGTAGCTCGACGTCTCGATATTAGTTGAATTTGAAAAGGTGGAAAAAAAAAAAAGGAAAAAAGAAATTCACTTGTTAGCTTTGATGTTTCAATAGTTGTTTGATGACGTTCCTCACAGAAGCATTCCGGCGAATGGATTTAAATAAATTTTTATTTGCCACGAGGAGCAGCGTTGCAGGGAGCAACGATGAATGACGTGAATTATGACGGACGCCATTATACCGAATTCCATTTCGAAGTTGAATTTTTACTCGGAGATGATGAATAGCCGGCTCGTGAAAAGAGCAAATTACGAAAGTTAATTCGACCGCGTGCATCCTGCTCGTTCGCGCACCGCCAATCGATTAGACAAATACGTTCATCGTAGCTTTTTAACGCGTCACGTCCCTTCCATCCAGTCAGCTCTCCCGTCTCTTCCTCCGTTTTTCCTTCGACCTCTCCATCCTTCGAGCTTTCGCGTTTCTCTCTCCTCGTTTCGTTCGCTCCTTTCGATCATCTAAAATCGCGCAGATTTTTTTCTTTCTTTTCGTTCACATTCTCCGGAAGTAGATATGCATGTATATTGCTATCGAGTTCTGAAATAAATTGTTTGGAAACCATTGTTCACGCTGACTATTAAAGAAAAAACAGGGGGGAAAAAGTAGAGTTGACGCGATATTGATCTGTTTTACATCCGCCGGGCAAATAGGATTCCGTACTCTCGTTAAAATTTCATGAATATTCCGCATTATATTCGATATCCTCCGGAATATCTCAATTTCGCTTCTGGTTAAATTATTACGATGTAAATGACAACGTTTCGCGGAAGATTTCCATTTAATTTCGCGACTTTTAGAAAATCTGGCGAGCTCGACGATTTTACGCAACGAAGCACCCACCTTTAAGATCACCTGTTCAAACAGCTACACCTTGCACTGGCATCTCGTTTGAAGATATTTAAACACGCGTTACACAATTATAAAAACAATCACATTGTTTCTTACATCTCGATATCGATCTAAAAAATAAAAAAAAATAAATCACATTAGAAAATCAATTTTTCTTTTCATCGTGATCTATCGAAGCCTGTCTCATCTCTGTTCAATTTGGGAGCGCGAGCGGCCACGTTTCGTGTCGCAAAACAGAACAACATACTCCACATTGCAGCATATCTCCAGAATCCTTCGTCTCGAAAGATCCCGCTCGCCGATACGCGTTTTCAACAGGCGTTTAATCCCGTCTTGTGTGCCCGCGTTTAATCGATACCCGCACGAGACGTTGGTTAGCCATACGGCGTAACTTTATCCGTGCGATGCATCGCCGAAATAAATAAACGCATTATGATCGAGTCGTGATAGCGGTGAATTAATTGCTCGGTCGCGCGCTCGAGTTTCGCCCAGCGTGGGGCGCGTCCGCCTGTAAAATTTGTCACGCTTAATCTGTAACATTGTTTCACGATCAGACGTTAATCCATTACACGCTATTTTCCCATAACGTACAACCACTTAACGTTGAAAGCAACCGAGCCAAAAAGTAAACGAAAAAAAATCGAACAATGTATGCAATTCGTGCAACGAAGAAAATCAGAACAGCTAAAATTCCTTAAAAAAAAGAAGAACAAGTTCTAAGAAACCGATTTCTTATCCAGAGATCTTCTCATTCTTCCCTCGAGCGAGAGATCACGAGCACATCGTCTTCGTCGAGAGGCGCATCGTATCACAAACATAAATATCCAACGATGTATTAAAGCGAGAGGATCCAAGGAGTTCCGGAAGTGGAATGGTCGCGAATTCTCTCTAGATCGAACACGTTACACGTCGTTTCCTCGGCTATATTGGTCTTTACACACAGAGCGGGGACGATTCTCGCGAGCCCCTGTTGACACGACCGGTGGTACAGGTCGCTAGCGATACGATCAAAATTACGGTTGCACGGCAACGAATCACCCTCTTCGACGTGATGACGTATGGATGGAACGGCACCCAGCTATATGGAAAACGGATCCGGCTGTCGATCGGTATTCCGGTTATTCGCCCTCTCTCTGTTCCGGTTCCCCCTCATCGGTACAACCTCCTCTGTCCTCCGGTTCGTACACATTCCCGCCCAGTAGCGTGGTTGAATAATTGCGGAGGAAAGGTGATCCTTTGTACTCTGATCCTCGCCTTTGTCCCGATGCTTGTTCCGTTCTTCTTCTCCTCTGTTCCACCCTCCCCTCTCACGTTGCTTCGTTTCATTTCGTTCGTTCACCGTCTCTCTCGCCATCTCAATTTCCGGCTGCTTCGGGCTTAATCGTTCCAACGGAGCCGCCGACCACGATACCGCGTTCATTCCCATTGCGTTCCAGTGTGAATCGCGAGCGTACGTACGTATGTGTGTGTGCAGAGAGAGATCCGCGATAACGATCAATCACTTTGTTGCATCGTGGTTTAACACGTTCCCGCGGTTCCTTTTACCACCTTTTGCATACGCTTCGAGGCATCTCCTTGGCGTTTTCACGAGGCTGTCGCGTAAATTCCCGCACCACTGTGTTCGACTTTTTCTCTTTTTTTTTTCTCTCCCTCCACGAGATCTCGTCGTTTGTCGAACTGCGTATGTGTGTATGTAGGTATATCAACGCGAATAATCGTTACACTTTTTTTCTTCTCGTCGTTATCGTCCGTTCGCGTTTCGTTTCGTCTGATTCGAATATTTTACCGCCGTGCTCTTGTCGTGGTCACCGGTCTTCACCACCACCACCGTACGCGATTTCCGGCGTTTTGCACGAAGAACGCGTGTACTTTCTTTTCTTTTTTTTTCTCGAGAGCGAGAGAGAGAGAGAGAGAGAGCGAGCTAGCGAGCGAGTGCGCTCGTCCCTCACGGCGGAAGTCTTCCGTCTCTATTCACCGTCGTCCACGCGAAGGATGAGGAGAAGTAGTGGTTCCGGGACGAAACGGTTAGTAGAGCAGCAGACACAGACAGAGAAGTAGAGAGTAGAGCCTCGGTTGCTTGGCTTGACCGCCGTGCTGCATTGCCGCGGGATACTCTCCTGAAACAGGGTACAACACTTAAATTTTCTGAAGGGCCAGCCTGTGAAAATAATACCGCTCTATTTACGGTATACATAGGGAAAACAGCGAGAAGTTGTGTAAAGGGTGGTAGAGCCCTTAGCCTAAGGCTGCCTGGCGAGATCTAACCGGAAACGTAAGAAGAAAAAAAGGAACGAGATAACTGCGCTAAACGAGAATAATATACAGTGCAAGCTATACAAATGAGAATACCCCAAGAATCTCTTCATTTGAGAGTCACAAAGATGTAAGATCGGGGTTATCTCCGGCTCACTTTCATTTCTCCCCCGCCACAAGAACTAATTACGATGGCAAACTAGCTTTGTGACTGTGAGACTGTGGAACCACCCGTGTCGGTACTTCAGATACGCTTCTATATGTATACACACACACACACACTCGTGTCTATACGTCTATACAATTCGGTCGTTTCAATTACACGTTACGTATGAATACGTCAAAGTGTGTGCAAATGTCTGTTTCGAAAGTGTATATATATATATATGTGTATGTCGGTGCTTTACACAGAGAATTCTGTTAACCGGCGCAATGAAGGGGATTCATTAATTAAACGCGTGTGTCGAAGCCAACGCTTCCGTTCCCTCATTCAACCCCTTCCCACTTCCTCGCCGCCAGTCTTCCTTTCCTTTGTTTGACGTTCATCAATTTAAAATTAATATTCAGGCTCGTCTTCTCGTACTCCCGTTATTAAACGACCGATGAGAAAAAAGGAAAGATTTTCCGCTCTCCTATGAAGGAAACGGTTCGCGTTTATTAATTTCCCTCCGCTTTTCGGAACACCGGTAACGATCCCTAAGGTAAAAAACGTCGTTTACGGTCCTGAGATAACGAGCCAGGTGAAAATGTGAGAGGTGAGGAATGGCGGCGGTGCAATTAAGTCGAAATCACTCACCATTGAGTACATGAACGGTGATCGATTTTGGTTGAGCGTTACTCGGGTTACAAGTGTACCGGCCGGAGTCCGACGGTTTCGCTCCCTGCACCAACAGGAAGCTCGTGGTGGTGTCGCCTTTTTCCGTGACCACGGACACGCCACCTCTGGTCGGGTCGTAGCTGATTATCTGCAACAGAGATCGGAAAAGGGACGCGTTCAGTGGAGCAACACGAAGAATCGAGTCGGTATCGCGAGTCGAGAGGGTGGACGAGTCTTGGGACGAGTTTCGCGGCAACATCCTTCCTTTTATTCGACGGCTGGAAGTTAGGAGTAGGTTGCTACCAGGTCGAGGGAGATAAGTCTTTGCGACTATATTGCGATATCTGTCATCGTTCAGCGAGGGTAACGGGGAAAAATTCTCATACTTTCCTTTCGGTGATTTATCTCTTTGCGCTACCGGAAGTCGCTAATCGAGAGGACGTAATGGCTGTTTTTATTTGAAAGGTTCTCGATGTTTGTTGGCTTTTTATATTACTTCGTCTTTTTGTACAAGTGTGAGATCATTTTTCAATAATGTTTTACGAAAAATAAAAATTCTGATTTATTCGTATTTTGGGTTTAGGTATGTGGTTTATATATGGAAATTTGCGGGGAAAATTGATAAATATTTTGCAAGAGAAATTAACAAAGAATTTCTAATTTTTAGTATATTATTTAAACAAGTGGAATTTTTTCAAATTGTTTTACGCAGTCAAATACAAATTTTGTCAATTTGTATCATCTCTATGTCTCTAACAGGTTTCGAGACATGGGACCAAGTACGTTTACTACCCCTAACTTCGAGAGCAATTTTCACCCTTTAAATCTGAACGATTGCCAATAAAAAAAAAATACGTGTCAAATATTTTTTCGAGATCTGTCGCATACTAAAATTTCATGAAAATTGGTTCCCTCGTTACAAAGATTCATCTTATCCTACCCTGAGATTCACAAATCGTTCGAAATGTCCACGATTTTTTGCGGTACATCAACATTGCACCTTCGAGTTACGAGATCTTCCAAGTCAGCGTACACTTATTTCCTTTCGAGCAAATTCGACCTGGCCGTCACGATTTCGCTTAGATTTCTACGCCCTCTTTCTCGAGCATCTGTGCACATAGATTCAGAAAGGGTAACACGGAGGCAACGTCCGAACGTGCCACTGTACACAGTGTCGGCCCCTGTAAACGGTTCTGTTTATCCTGCGCCTGTTCCACTTGACGTTCCTCGCGAGTGTCTCTTTAACAGGGGTCGCGAGGGTCGACGTTCGCTCGTGAGGGAGCTGCAAGCCCGAAGCCCGGTGTCGTCACAGCCGAGACGGATTTCTAAATAAATGATCTACAGCTCGAGCCTTCGGTGTGCTGCTCTTACGTGCCATCTTAAGAACGTCTTAAGGGAGGACACCCTTTCGCGAAATTTCTTCAAACTCCCACCCTTCAATTGCCTCTTCCCCTCGCGGCTGCAGCTATCGTCTTGCAATTTCTCGCAAATAAACGCTAAAGAAACCTCTTCAAGCGTGTTACACCGAAGTTTTTCACGCTGATACACAACGATCACGTGTAGAAAAAACAGGATTCACGTTGAATATTAAAAGAATCCGTATTACCGTCTTTAAGATACGTTCAATTTAAGGAACTCGTAATTTTCAAACGTGATAAATGGAGAAAGTTCGGACGTTTCGTTGTACAGGTGTAAATAAGGAAAAATTTTAAGCGAAAAAGTAAGGAATAAATAATAAAACTGGGCGAGAATTCATTTTGCCCGTTTAACGGTTCAGGAACACGGCTCACCTGGACGGTTCAAAGTATGATTAATCGCACGTGAAAGTTGTAACCAGCAAGCTCGATAAGCCGCAGCCCTCTTCCTTCCGTTCTGTTATCTGGTCCGCGATATAACGCAGAATAATATGCGAAACTTTCACTGGAAAGTACACGGTTAATCCGAGTTCCGTGTATGACGGGCTAATAACGACGACGCGCACACGTTTCACCCCTTTCTGTTCGTGTTCGCCGGCTCACAAAAGCGCGCCAACTTTTGTACCGCCGAAAAAAAAAAAGGAAAAAGAAGAATAGAAGAAGAACTGGAATTTTGATTCACGTCGGTGTTGTGTCATGTGAAAGTTCTTCCCAGTTACAATTCGCCAACTATTTTCATACACGCGCCGCGATTGCCTCACGATCGTGATGTTTAACGAGTTATATTTTCCACGTTTTATCGAATCATTCATTTTTCAACATGCGACAATTTTTCCGTTCCTACAGATAGACGCATCTGTAAATGAAAATTCGCCGAAGAGAATGTATTTCATATGAATTTTTCTTTTGTTCATTTCCAATATTGTTTCCGGGCAGAATAGATTTAGTACGGTTGAAATTGAATTTGCCAGTATGTTTACGATTGTATTATATTAATATGTAAAACGAAAAGCTCGGAAAATGCACGAAATTTCCAACAATTTCCCCACATTTTCGAAATTCCTTTCCTCGAAGGGAAGCGTGAAAAAATGTCCAAAAAGAACACGCGAAACAGCACAAGCATCCGAACAACGTTCACTTTTCTAACATCGCGAAAAATCCCGTTTGCCGTGAAATGACATTTCGAAAATTTCGAATTCGGTTTTGCGAGGAACAGGACAACGAGAAGAATCGAGAAGGCAGCGCGGTATCGGGGAAGTCGTGTATCCGAAGAATGAAATAGAGGCAACGGGAAAAACACGAGGAAGAGAGCTGTGTCAGAGGCGAAACGACATGTCGACGAACGTGGAAATCCCGAATTTTACCGTTCCCGGGATCGCGGATGGCCAGATTTCTGGAGATCTTTATTCGATGTCGGCGAAACCGGGGGTGGGAGGGCTGGGTGCAACTCAACGAACTAGATAATTTCGCTGCATCGCGGAGTTCGTAATTTGGCGAAGTTTTAAGCGCGTGTCGAGCGAGAGTTCGCATGACCCCGAGAAATAGAGAGAATGGAAATTGTAGGTAGCGAGATGGTAGTCTCGTCAGCCTCATTACGCGTTCATAGGAGAAATCGGCGTCCAACGGGAATCCGGACGACGACTCGATGGAACATCTTGGACTCAATGGTCCATTGGAATGGTTTCCACCCAGCACGTTACTACTTTTGTCTTATCAGTCTTCTCCCGCGCTCTGATAACGACTCCCTTGTCTTCCCTCTCTGTCTCTCCTTCTTTCTCTCTCTCTACATTTTTCCGTCAACTTATGTCGCCTCTTCTCACCTCTTCCAAAGTCCGTCTTTTTCTCCCTTTTCCCCCGTCCCACAATCCGATCTTAATTTATCTACTTCATTTAAATCGATAGCCTTTCAGCTTTGATTGAATCCTTCAGGATCACTCGAACGGTTCTCTTTATTACGCGAAATCGCTTTAGAGCGTTCGAGACCGTGCTACTTCGGGTTCAATTTATCGTGATTGACACTGGGTGCGAAATTAAAGTTATTCCTCCGGATAGCGACCTACGGCCGAACGATGTTTTAACACGCAATTAGACGATCGCAATAGGGAACTTCTTGTTTTTGTATTTATTGCTACGCTTTTAGATGTTCATTTTCTTATTCTGTAGTTTAATCGTGTTTCTCGGGACTATTGTTGCGATTTGGGTTGGAAATATAGGGATGAATTTGCACTTATTAACGTTTGCACGACGGACGTCGGGTCGTAACTGACCCAGCTGTTAAATATCTCTTGTTTACACCGGCATTTAAATCAGAATCACGATTCTCCTCTCCTTATATCATATTTGTTCCTTTAATCATAATATATTTGCATAATTTTAGTTAAAAAATGTGGTTTCGTTTGCGTACGAAGAAGATTTTAGTATTGGGTCAAATTTGACCCAGCATCCGCCTTGCGTGAAACTATCCACAGTTTCTACATATAATAGTGTTCATAATTTACACAGCATTCGAACATCTATACTCACGATTTCTCATGAACGAACCTCGTGCAAAAGTAACGTAAAATAGCAAATATACTCTCGTAACGATCCCAACTTCCGCCAAGCTACAGCAAACAAAAGGAATCACGTATCGCGAAAGAACGACTCTTAAATTTAGCAGAAAGTCTTACGAACCACCGTTCGTGAACGTACAAACGGCGAAAACAAGACGTTCTCTCCCCCATACCAGTTTCATTTCCCACGAAACATATTTTCCAATTCGAGCTTAGAGATATTCTCGTTCTATCGTCCAATTGTTTCCTCATTTGTCCGGGGTCGAGCGGAGATTGCTTTTTATTTCGCGATTTCTCGCCAGACCGCTGAACGTGTATACCTAACCTACGTTCGAGATGGTTCGCGTCGAACGAAAAAATACATTGTTCAACGGAGAACCCGTGGCTGTCGGCAATGTTGTTATCGGCGTACAAAGTTCTTATTACGCGAACCGTATCCTGGCAGGCTGCCTTGTTCCACCTCGGCAATATCGTTGGAAACAACATCAGCACGAGGAGGAACCTCGTCGACGTAAGAATACGTCCAACGTTCCGCGTTCATGAGACAATGCCTCCCTCCCCTTTCCTTTAATGGAATAAAATGCAAATTGCTCCGCCTTGTTACCTGCTACCTCTCGAAATAATCTTCGTCCTTAGCTATTTTATTTCACACTTTCTACCAGACGCACAGGCGGCCGTATTAAAATTCAAATTGCCTGAATACGAAATCACCGATGCAACTGCGTTATTAAAATCGAATTAATTCAAATTGATTCGAATTTAAGATCTAAAGATTTCGAATTTAAATTTTCCCGCGCTAACCAACGCCGAGGTGTGTGTATGTATAAGCAAGTGAAGGATCGCTAGGCGGTGCTTTAATAAGAAGCTATTGGGGGATACAGCTCGTATAATGGCATGTTGCGCGCGGCCTTATGAAAAGAATGTTTACGAAAGTAGATACATAAACGTCACGCTGCCTCGTGTCTCGAGTTTTTCACTAGCTAAACGTTTTAAACGAAACGTCGCCTTAAACAACGCACGTTCTTCGCTACACTGTTTCACTGGCACGATTACCATTTTTTCCCCTTTCGTATAGAGGGTGTGCAAACAGCGTGTACAACTGAAAAGGGTGTCCCTCGTGCGTGAGTAGGTTGAAAGTGAGGAACGATATTTCCTCGTGCAAGACTCAGTTATTGAATAAA